ATTGCTGCTGATTGATTGTTATTTTAGCTCCATTTTCATCATTGATTGATTGGGTAAATGTTTTCGAAATCTTTTGATCCAGAAAATGTCTAAAAAAGTTCAAATGTCTTCTTCAGCAGAGAGAAGCAGCAAATAAACAATAGATAGTTGATAAGCTTAAACTAGGGGACCGTAGGAGTTTCACTCTAAAGATAACTCCTAGACAATTTTGACATATTGATAAGTAACGTTTTTTTGTTTCAGCTCAATAGTTTCTATCATAATGTAGTTTGTGAAACTAAACGCGACAGCCATTTGTTCTGGAAATGAAACCCCGTTGTAATACGTGTGACAAAGTTGATTGGTTCTGTAATGTTGTTAAAAACCACTGACTCGCAGCAAGTTCCACTTTCTATCTAAACCTCCTGGTGACCTGCACGTTTAAACAACTTGAATGGGGGAACTGATGTCTCTTGAGTGACGGTCTGAAAACATGGTCCCGTTCCTGTGAGACAGACCTCCAGCTGTTCCTGTGAGCTGGTCAGTGACAGCTGGACTCTCCACTGACCAGTCCCATTGACAGATGCTTTTTCCATCTCTAAATGTCAGTCGTCTCTTTGGTCTGATTACAACAATACTTCCGAGGGGCGCTAATTTCCTATTGGGGGTGTAATTTGGTGTCCCAGGCCCTTTAGGACATATTGAAAAAGCAGATTCATTACCGTGCAGATGGCTAGAGATTTTCAGTGAACAATTATCACCCAAAAAAACATATTTTCCCATTTTTTTATGTTGCTTTGGCTGTAAATCACTACTACTGCATTGCCTCAAAATGTTTACCAAACACATTTGCAGAGAAGCCCTGGGTAGATGGCAACATAAAAGCTGTGGCCCGCTGGCTGTGGAGAGGCCTGTTTGCACTGTGAAAGCTCCCAGCAGTCCCCCAACCCCGGGGCAATGGGGGGAAGGGAGAGAGAGAGTGTAATGGAGTATTGAAAATAATGAGAGAGGAAAGAGGTTTAAGAGTTTAGGAACCGAACGGAGAAAACTCTAAGCAATTATTTAATATAAAGAGGAATTTAATGAGGATTTAATGTGGCTACAAAGCGAGAAAATACATAAAATTAAAGAGACCGGTAGATAATGGCAATTGGAGTTTGTATGATTTGGGAATAGGGAGAGTGCATTACTACATTGTGTGTGTGTGTGTGTGTGTGTGTGTGTGTGTGTGTGTGTGTGTGTGTGTGTGTGTGTGTGTGTGTGTGTGTGTGTGTGTGTGTGTGTGTGTGTGTGTGTGTGTGTGTGTGTGTGTGTGTGTGTGTGTGTGTGTGTGTGTGTGTGTGTGTGTGTGTGTGTGTGTTTTTGAGAGAGACTGAGAGAGAATGGATGGTTGTTTTTATCATAGAGTACTACTCAGCAGTCAGTGCTGGTCCTCCCAAGGTCATGCTCGGTGCTGGAATGAATGCTATTTCCTCCCTCACTCCGGAGAAATGTCTGCTACTTTACAAAAAAAAAAAAAGCCACTCTGCTACTGATCAGACTGACCAGATTAACTTGTTTTTTTTGGCAAATGCACATCATGCTTATTTGATTAAACATGCCATCTCTGAATCACGCTCACTTCCATCGTGTTTTTGATCAAATTAAAGCTCAGAACTGTCCGCAGGCCGAAGTATGGTAAAGTGCAGAGCCTACGGGCGAATGTGCTACTTATGATCACATATGGGTTACAATGGCGGTTGTGTTAAAGTACTTTCTGCTGCTGATATATTCCAATTTCTCAGCTATATGCACCATTGATTTTGTATTGATGTGTAAGTGAAATGGCCTCAAGGCAAATCCTTCTATGGGGAGCCAGTGTTGTTCCAGCTCTTATAAGGCATTGTGAGCAGGATTGAAGTTTCACCTTGTTGGTCTGGAGCTGCTTCATCAGATCAGGTTTCATGCATTAATCTGAAGAAAGATAAGAAGGCGATACAGAAAGGGTGCGATGGATTGGGCTAAATTAGGGGCTGTCTTTGCTTCCTGCAGCTTGTAAGAGTGCTACGAACTGATGCTAACCATCCTTTAATTTGGTTTTCCACAAATACTAAGTTGTCAATACTGCAAAATGACACAAGACAGGCACATGATTTAAGACATTTAGCTCACACCGTTACCCTCAACAATGATACAAAAAAGGCGCTTAGAATAAGTATTTTTAAGATACATCTATAAATTGTTAATCTTAGAATCGAACATGCACACATCTGCAACTAAACATAGAACAATATGTAACTACCACATCGAACCACAACTACCACTCTGGCTGCAATTATTAATGTTGGTTCCTTAGCCTAATCCTATATTCCATGGTTACAGTAACAAGTCTCCATGTACACTCTCTAACGCTCTGCTCTACTGCTGCCTGATACATGCAGAAGGATGTATGTGTATGCTGGGAAAACATTTTAAATTAGCAGTGAGGTATTATAAAAGTATTCTCCTCACATAATCGAAATACTGATGTTTTAAAGTATAACAGTGACTGAATACAGATACTTCATTTCTATTGTCTAAATACAGAATGTGAACACTCCTGTTATAGCCAAACACTGAACACACACAGCATACTGGAGCATGAAGCAGATATGCATGTAAGCACTGTGTGCATTACTTAACCATGCATGCACACTGGCTCACTGAGCAACCAGAGAAAACCACCGAGTCTAAAACAACCCCCCTATTCGCAAGAGAGAGAAAAAGAGAAATCACCTACATTTGGACTCTTGTGCATGCTTTTTCTTCATAACCTACTTATTTGTATCGGTATTGTTCATAGAGATATACCTAAACCCTGAAGTACACATGAAAAAATAAGAAAAATAAACCGTGACTATTAACTGGCCAAATGCCGATGGAGTGACATCATGTCCATGCAACAACAATGATTCGTATCAGCTGTAGAAACATGTTGCTATTTTAAAACACTGATGCTAAATGTCAGGCCTCTCAGAAAGCAGTGGTGACTCGCCAGACTATTTTGCACTAATTCTTAACAGTCATACAAGATGAAATCATTTAATTGCAGCATGTGTCATGTCGTGTTGCATTTGAGAAGGGTTTTGGAGGTTTATATAAAACTAAATGCACTCTCACTCTGTCTGTGGAGAACTAGTAATGAACTAGTAATATACTGATATACTGTAGATGAAGATGGCAGCAGGAAATAGACAACGGTTCATGATTAAAACGACTGGAAAGCACTACCAATCTGAGATTAATGATACATGCTGGTAGTGAGTTTAATTCCAGCTGGGACTTTTCCTTTCATCTGTTTCACTCACAGGCCACTTAATGATAGCTGTTGAGGGAAGAGTGTTAGTCATTTCTCCTGCCAGGGTTTTCTAAACTAATTTGCAGGATAGGAGTTGCCTTCTTTCCACAAGTTTAATTCTCAGGGATTTTTGGCATTCAAAATAATGTAGAATACTGATTTCAAAAAGACTGGTTTAATAAGATGCGAGCCTATGCAACTGGGAAGTTTCAAACTGAGGGAACTGTATATTCATATAGCAAACAAAGTTTTAGGTGAATATTCTGAGTGAAAAGATGGAGATGGCTGTTCATATGAGATGTCAGCCTGCACGTCTCTGATGGAGAGCAGGCAGGATGAGTGATGGGTTCAGCCAGCATCAGCAATAACTCTGAGCTTCTTTCATCTATATGGTTGTAGAGGCCTGTCAAAACGTTGCATGTCAAGGAGACCCAATTATATACACTGCCTTGAATTGTCCTCTGTCTGTCTGTCTACATTCTCAGTCAATGATCTGAAATTAACCCTTCAATTACTTGGAAAAAGACTCAAACCGAAAAAGTAAAGCAGACTTCAGTGGGAGGAAAAATAATGAATGCATTTCCGATCGACTATTGCTCTTTTTTTAGGCGAACCGCCCACTATTCGAGTCATCGGGAGTATCTGCCTTGCTGAATGCCACTTATCCTCCTGTTACTGCTGCCAGTACAGTCAGGGTAATGGTTTCATCTGCAGAGATGATCTAATAAAGATCTGTAGAGAAGTTGAAGGGGTTCACTCATACTCAGTTATTGACAGATTTCAGTCAGATTTAAAGTCTTGGCTGTCTCTCATGACACAGATCTTACTTTCTCATATTACTGTACCGCAATGTCGACTGACTGAGTAACATTTTGATGTCTTTTGAGCTGTGTAATACCACATTTTGTTGGATGTTAATGAATTAACACTCAATATTATCCAACATAAGCTACATAGGAGACAATTGAAACAAAATAGAGCTTCAGGCTGCATGCTCAGTTATTTCTGTTCAAGGCTGACCATTTTCTCCCCAAGTAGGTGGCTCCGATGAGTCACTCTCAATGGCGAGCACTTACATTCCCTATGAATAATATAAGTACTTCATTAAAACAATGTGAACAGGATGAAATACAAAAGGATATTCCTAATTATCATAGTGTTTTTTTCTCGAGGGCATAACACTATTTTTGTACTATTTTCTACCAGCGTACAAACAGTAACCACAGGCAGCATCTCACCAATTACTGTTTGTTTCATCAAATGTTTAGTAATCATTAAATCGTAACAATGGAAATGTATAAAAGTAATAATGACAGAAACAGTTGCTCCTCCATGCTTACTGTCAAGGTTGTCATAGCAACTGCATCTGTCTGGAGCAGAAACATTATGGGATGCAGATAAAACAAGACATCATCTGTGCCCTGGGGCCACAGCATTTCTTCCATTTTAGATTGTATACCTTTTAAGTGCTGTAAGATATGACTGAGCATATTAATATAAGCCTGGAGGTCTATTAGGAAACTGTCTTTCCTTCCAATTCAAGACTTTTAAGTTCTCGAAGGGAAATTGCAGTCATTTTATCACACTAGAATAAATGAAGCCGACAATTAAGACTATTTTCTGTCTATTGTTCCCATTTTCTTTTTTGTTGACTCCTGATTTTGCCTATCTGACCTTCTCCTTTTTTTTTTTTACTTGTGTGCAGGCATCAGGCCACCCATAATGAACGGACCCATGCACCCCCGCCCCCTGGTGGCGCTGCTGGACGGGCGAGACTGCACGGTGGAGATGCCCATCCTGAAAGACGTAGCAACCGTGGCCTTCTGTGACGCTCAGTCCACACAGGAGATCCACGAGAAGGTAACAATGAGACCATGCACACACACACACACACACACACCACACACCACACACCACACACACACACACACACACACACACACACACACACACACACACACACACACACACACACACACACACACACACACACACACACACACACACACACACACACACTTTAAGTAAGGTTGTATCTAGGAATGAACTGTATGGATTTTTCTCGCTGAATCAGGTAACCGATAATGACTTGCTTCTCGTGGCCAATACCGATTAAATAACTGATTATTTAAGTATAGTCCCTGTAGCTTTGACACACCTGAGGGTAAGAAAGGCTAAGATGTAGTTAGCAAAAAATAAAGGTGACATAGTTCTGACTCTTCATGTTCATTTATGTTTTATAAAGAAGTACAACAAAAAGCTTGCTGTACTGAAAATTGCAATCCTGTTGCATTCCTCTGAAACTGTAAAAAACCTCCACATCGGCAAACCATTAACCACTAGGGCTGACTTTTGAAGCCGGGTAAGAAAGATGCAGTTTGTTCGAGTATGGAGTATAACGATATATTTCAATCATGTGTAGTTTTCTATTAGGAATGCATCAAATATATATTAATATATCCAACATTAATACATCTCCCATGCTTCTCTTTTGGAACATTTTGGGACATGTTTGATTTAGAAGTCTGCACTGATCACACAGTTGTGTTTGCTCTATCAATATGATATCAGAGGTAATTTGATTTAACGCTTGAAAACATCCCGTCAGATATCTTTGATGCCACAGATGTTACGTTTAAGTATGTACGTTGTATATTTCAACATTTACTTCAAAAATAAGTGAAGTTTCATCTGTTAAATTACAATTCATGACGTGGTTACATCACCAAGTCTTAAAAACTGTCAGATATATCAGGAGTTTCTGACTGCAACAACAACCAAATGCACCTAATTTGGGTTATTTCAATTATTTGATTACAAGCAGAGTTGTGCGTAAACATCTTGCAATAAAACATGAATGCCGTGTGCACTGCAATTTCATTAAAAAAAATAAAAAAGTCAGCATATTGGTTTTGCATTAACGATATTAAGGTCTAAAATGATGTACTAGTTGCAGAAAATGCGAATGACATAAAAAATACAAAGAACACATGAAAAAGACAAGTAAAATTGATTAAATGAAGGAAAATCAAAAAGGAGAGCAGACTCAAAATGTGGGTCAGGCTGGGATCTTGCTGCTGTGGATGGTAAATGGGTTTGTGTGTCTGGCAGCGCTGCGTCTCGTCCTGGGTGTCTGCCAGGCACACGCTCAGTAACCCACGGCGATGCAGAAACAGATGGCTCTCCCTCGCCCACCAACTATCTCTACTCTCTCTTTCTCTGGCTCTTGAGCAGGCTGCCACCTCATTGTATAATTAAAAGGGTTTCTTTATTGTAATTGAAACGCATGTCATTTTCATCCTCACACACGAGGAGGAGGGCTGCCAACGTTAGGAAAAAGATTTGAAGATTAACTGGGAACCAATTCAAAGGTGAATAAGATACGTTATACACAGCCATGTACTGTATGTGTGCGCTTTGCACTTGAAAATTGAACAGGTCTGGCACTCTTTTCATCTTAATATTTACATTTTTTCAAAGTAATTTGTCATATTTTTAGTATATTTCCTTTAATGTGTTCATTTACATTTTTTGTTAACTTTATTTTTTAATATTCTTTTTTTAAGTTTTAAAATAGTTTCATATTTGCTCTTATTTTACAACGTAGTATTACTTAACATTGTAGACCAAAGCAAATGCCTTGTATATGTAAACCTACCTGGCATTACACTTGATTTTGATTTGGATATATTCCCATTTTATTCATATTTTTTAACAAATTCTTATAGAAAACTTCCCATTATAGCAATACATCATCATTTGGTCAGTAAACTTGATTCAGATTTTATTATATTCCTATTCTTTAATATAATAAATCCGTTTTTAAATAATAATATTTTTCAATTAAAACAATGAGCCGCAGTCCTGATGAGAATACCATGTGAGAAAGATTCCTGCTGATGTCAGGCACTTTGTTCGATGCAGAGACACCTTATCTCCATTCCTGTGGTTAAGAAAGCTTAGTTTCCATGGTAATATTCAGGAAAAGCGGTCCTTCCATGCTGGCAGGGATATTAAAAAACAGGATGTGAGAACGATATAAAAAGCATATCCTGGACATTTTTTTACCTCAACCGAGATGCTGAGTTTACGGAAAATGTGCGACTGTGAACTCGGTGAACTCTGGTTGCTGAAAATCACTCAAGCCTTTTCTGTGGAGAAACGCTTGACTCGAGCTCACACCTACACAAACACATGCTAATGACATTAACATTTGGTCTGTATGTACTGTTACTGTACTTAAAGAACTATTCTATTCATTTGCAACCAGACACACTTTTACACATGGTTAAGTAAGGCTGCAAAGATTTTGATACGTCAAACATCACATGTCAACACACACGCACTTGTTGCTAGTGATTTATGATCTAAACGACTCAAGCTGTTTTTGTGTTCAGGTGCTGAACGAAGCTGTAGGAGCTCTGATGTACCACACCATCACTCTGATGAGGGAAGACCTGGAAAAGTTTAAAGGTCTTCGCATCATCGTCCGCATCGGCAGCGGCTACGACAACATTGACATCAAATCTGCCGGAGAGCTGGGTAAGCACGCACGCACGCATTCGCTGCATTCGCTGCTAATTACTAATAATGTTTGTTGGCTAACATAGTTCATGTAAATGGCTTGTTTAGACATAAGACAACATTTAACTCCAGAGATTATGATAGCTCCTTTTCACAGTACGCTGCCGGCCTTCTATTTGTTCCAGAGCCAAGCTTAGGGCTAGATAACTGGCACACCTAAATGAAAAAGAGCCATTGTGAATACATAAAAATAGTCTCGATCGCATTCATATGCTGTTTTAATATGCATAAACAACAAGCTATAACAATTAAACAGACAGTTTTGTTGTCAGTACTGTGTTGTATTTACTGTATACTGTTTTTACTCATAAGCAGTGTACCAATCTCTAAATAACTGTTTATTTACTGCTGCCAATAAGGATTGCAACAAGTCAGTACATTTAGTATTTCAAAGTGAAGTGAGCAAGGCTTTTTAATAAAGCTGTCCTGCAGCGGCAGAGCTTTCCTAGCGTCTCCTATCTCCTTCCACCACGACGCTCTGCAATTTGAAAGTTGCCAGTAGCGTTTGAAGAGAAAACTGCTGACACAACATCTTACGCCTGCACTTCTCCGCCAAACTAGCTTTAACCAAACTTCATCAAATGGCCAAAAAAGCTATTACTAATCCTTATCTGCTTTTTGCTCCAACAGGCATAGCTGTGTGTAACATGCCGGCGGCGTCGGTGGAGGAGACGGCGGACTCTACGCTGTGTCACATCCTCACCCTGTACCGACGCACCACCTGGCTGCACCAGGTCTGTGTGCTTTTGTGGATCATTAAAGGGAACAAAATGAATTGCATGTCAATGAACTAACTCTAAATGTGGCGGCTACCGGTGTATATTTAGTTATAACAATTCTAGTTTCGTCAATTGATATTAACCGCTTATTGACAAATCAGCAAAATTGAAACGTTTCATTTTCTTGAGCATGTACCTGTCTTTGAAAGACGTTTATCTAAGATGTAGAAGGTATAGTAAAATGATTTGTTCCTCAAATCAGTTATAATTACGTGGACTTCATAATCATGATCACAATATCTGAAAGGATTCAGACTGTTGGTGATTAAATGCAGCCGCTAAGAAATATACATCTGGATTGTGTTTTTGTTGTCTGAGTGATGTTTGCGTATAATAATTAGTTGTTCTTCATGGCAGGCGCTGCGGGAGGGCACGCGGGTTCAGAGCGTGGAGCAGATCCGAGAAGTGGCGTCAGGAGCGGCGAGGATCAGAGGAGAGACGCTGGGACTTATAGGGCTCGGTGAGCAACAACACACACGATGTAATGCCTCTGCAGTGAGACCTGCTGAGCATACTGTAAAACATACTGCTGTAAAACAAACTGCTGTAAAAACAGTCCTGGAAGTCTACAGACAGGGCAGCAGCTCTGTAAGGCTGAATGAAAATACAGCAGTGCTACTTACAATGAGAACATCTTGATACATAGCCGGTATAACGTTTACCATGTTTAGCCTCGTAGCTGAGAATGTGAGCATGCTCATGTTTACTAATTAACGTCAATGGTGTGAAGTTACTGGAAAATCTTTTCCACGTTATTTATACTTGTCACAGGTTATTAATAAATTCAGCTTGAGAGACATGAATGTTTGTACTAAACTTCATGTTGCATCCATTTAATAGTTTCTGTTTTGAACAGTGTGTTAACCTGATGTTTCCATGCTAGCGCCGCTAAAAGGTTTCATTTTTGTTCATTTTGTCTGATAGAGGGTGGTCAGACTTTTTAATCAAGGCATTTTTTTCTCTTTTTTCCATTTCCATTTTTGTCCTTAGCTCAGCTAAATTGGCTTTCTAAGGAGTTAATGCCAATCAAATATAAGCGGATTACCCAGAGGCAGAATGCAAATCTCTCCGAGTACAGTCTGAACGCTTTTTTCAGGAAACTAAACAGACATGTGTGGCCAGAGAATTATGAAAATATACAAGGCAAACTTCAAAGAAAGGAATATCAGACCCCTTCTTTTTTTAATCATTTGTATTTAATTTGTCTAAATGCTGCTTCGTGTGTTTTCAGGTCGGGTTGGCCAGGCCGTTGCCCTGCGAGCCAAGGCCTTCGGCTTCAATGTGATTTTCTATGACCCTTATTTAGCTGATGGTGTAGAAAGATCCCTGGGACTACAAAGGGTCACCACACTACAGGTAGCACACACAACAAACACACACACAAACATCAGGTATGATTTTCTTTCCGAGAAATCAGGAACTTTCAAATGTTTCCAGCATTTTGCAGTGTGTTATATTCATATAAATATGGATTATTCACAATATACATTTGTATTCTGATCAGTTTTAAGTCTGGGATTAATTCATTGTGTTTGACTGCTGCAGCTAACTGTCACTTTACTGGGGGAAACAAATATATTTGCACGTTACCCTTTGCATTTAAAAACTGCTTTCTTCACCATCCACCTTGAGGAATGAGGATTTAACATTATACTGTTTTGCCTTCTGTATGTGACCAAGGAGTAATATGGGCAGTTTTAAGAACAAGAACTATACTGTAAAACTCGAATTTGTTATAGTTACACCAGTAATTAACCAACCAAAAATGCGTGAGAATAGATTTGACAAAAGATCAGAAATCAGATGTTTTGGTTGAAATCGGGTGTGAATCTACTACATTCTAAAAACACTACTGTCAAAGTCCTGCAGAGTGTAAATAGAAGATTGTCCTTGACATATTTTCCTGTATTCCTCCTCAGGACCTGCTCTTCCACTCAGACTGTGTCTCTCTGCACTGCAGCCTCAACGAACACAACCACCACCTGATCAACGACTTCACCATCAAACAGGTGAAGGGACAGCAGCACACACACTGTCCCACACACTCACGACACATATACACACACTTGAATGATTTATTTATCCCTGCATCAACAGCGACACCCATGACCATAAATATTAAAGATACCAAGGGAAGCCCACTGCATTCATACAGATAAATTAGGTTTTCTACTGCTTGCACTGCATGACTGATATACTCAGGAAATATGTTTGTCCTTCATTTCCAGGGCTCAGCCTGAAGCCAATTTTCTTCCCAAGACTCAGATTATACATTAAGTATGTCTGACCTTGCGGGAGAGGGGCAAGTGAAACTAATAAAATATGTATTACTAAGTCTAGGTTTCTCTGCACTGAGAGAAACAAGATGTATAGCAGAAGAGCTTCCAAAGTGTGTGTGTACATTTGTTTTGTCCTACATTTTAAAACCAATATGCTAAAAGGAGAACAATTTGTATGTCTAAGAGTTAGGCTTACAATACAATTTTTCAGGTGTAAAGCTTTAATTTGTTAGATGAAATAAATAGAGTAAATGTGTGTTTGTGTGTCAAAGATGCGGCAGGGGGCGTTCCTGGTGAACACGGCCCGGGGGGGTCTGGTGGATGAGAAGGCGCTGGCTCAGGCCCTGAAGGAGGGCCGGATACGGGGAGCTGCTCTCGATGTCCACGAGACAGAACCTTTCAGGTATTTCTGATTAATGCTGTTGAATGTATCAACAGAGGCAGAACATAGTGTGTTTGTTTACACTACTATCTAACTGCATAGCATACATTTTTATATTTTCAGAATGAGAAGAAATATATCAGATTCTCTACCAGGAAGCTGTATGGGTGCATTATTTTGCAGCTTAAAAAAGTGAATTAGAGAGGGCTTATAAAACGTATACATATAAACTTATAAAATAATGGCATACTCAATTACAACACCAACTAGAAATGTGCTGTAAGTATAGTCCAGATCTTCACAAGGTGTGTGTAGGGCGAGTCCACAAAATACAAAATATTAAACTGGACAGAAAAAAATTAAACTCACAAAACCGTGTTGCTTAAAGGGGACCTATCATGCAAAATGCACTTTTGTACATCTTTTATATAAGAATATGTGTCCCCGGTGTTCCAGGGAACTCACCAAGTGTCAGAAAACACAACCCTCTCTATTTTCCTCCATACCCAAATCTCTAAAAAAGGGGCTGCAACGGATCTGATAAAAACTGATCCAGATTTGAACACTGTCCTGACGTCAGGACGGTGGCGCTACGGCTATTGGGCCAACTCCACCAATCAGGAGGAGACAGCCACGGCCATTGCCGTTCGAAAGCGCTGGAGACGCTGTAGTGCATATGCCAGGCCTGTAGGTGGTGCTGTTCTCACAGAATCAGCCCTTGCAAAACAGGGCTACAAAAGTGCAAATTGAGCAAAATGAGGCATGGCTAAAATGCATGATCTGTTTGGTATTTTGAAAAAAAAAAAGTATAAATATGCCTTATATAGGTATGGTCCTACACTATATTATTATAATATAGCATGATAGGTCCACTTTAAGTCTTTCCACTGTTCCAACAATCTCAAAACGTTACAACTGGATTTGGAAAATTCAACGCATCCTTTCTTTCGTAAGGAATTAGCTACCTAATTGAACACATTATTTAAGAATTAGTCGACACTAAATGATGTCATTTGTTGCAGCTGTGACTGACTGCTCTCTTGTTTGTAACTGTGTCAGTTTCAGTCAGGGCCCGCTGAAGGACGCTCCCAATCTGATCTGCACCCCCCACGCTGCCTGGTACAGCGAACAGGCATCGCTGGAGATGAGAGAGGAGGCAGCCAGGGAGATCCGGAGGGCTATCACAGGTAGTACACACACACGCACGCACACCCACACACACACACACACACACACACACACACACACACACACACACACACACACACACACACACACACACACACACACACACCACACACACACACACACACACACACACACACACACACACACACACACACACACACACACACACACACACACACACACACACACACACACACACACACACACACACACACACACACACACACACGCCAATAAAAGTCTAAAAATTGTTATTTTGAGGTGTTAGCTGCAGTCGAGCGTAAACCATCTTCCTTGTCTTTTAGCACAGAAGGATTTCAAGGCCTTTCACAGTCTGCCACTTTCTCTCTTTTTATCCACCTTTCCTTCTACTTTCTTTCTTGTGTTTCCCAAGTGGTAGTCTTTTCTTTTTACCATTTGTCTGTTCAATATTTTCTAATGTTTGTTGCTGTAGAAAATGGGTTAATAAATGTACACCTGCTTTGATATGTGAAGCAGTTACATTAACAAGACACCCAGTGTAGAACAATGGACTTTCCATTTGATTTCTTTTTTACCACTTCATATTTCTCTCTTACATTTTCTTTTGTTCTTTTTTTTAATCTATTTTGCAGGTCGTATCCCAGACAGTCTGAAGAACTGTGTGAATAAGGAGTTCCTCTCCCAGAACAACCACTGGACAGGAGTCGAGCCTGCCACCGTCCACCCCGAGCTCAACGGTGCTTATAGGTAATACTCATCAGGATAAAGAAAGCTGTAGTGGTCAGTGCTGTTTCTTCTTCCTTCTCAAACCCTGGTAAAGTCATTGATTGATACAATGTTTACCAAATGTCTTTAAAACACAGAATATGTTGCTTGTTGTAAAACCTGAAACGGTATTTAAATGACGGTTAAGCTGAAACAAATAGTCTATTGTGATAATTGATTAACTGTATTTAAGTTGCTCATTATATTTTCTTTACTGTTAGGTTTTGCCTTTATTATATATCTTATATGATATCTGAAGGTAACCTCTAGGACTCTTTGATGGCCGTCTTCACGATTTTATGTGGTTTAATAATCCAAAAATGTAAACTAATTGTATCAGAAAATTAGTTTTGTTTATGCCGGAGAAGAAATGAAATACACAAATCCAATCCCACTTCTCTTTATTAGCCTTGAGACTAGTACGTTTAAATAGCAATCCCTGTGATGCAAAGCTTATTTAGTGGAAGCCTAATGGTAAACATTTGCCCAGGTGACATTATTTCATTTTGTAGCTTCAGTAGTGCTTTGATGACTCAGTTTTTAGTCTTTTTCCCTCTCCCTCCCCCCTTCAGGTATCCCCCAGGAGTGGTGAACCTGCCAGCTGGCGGCCTTCCTCCCCCTGTTGAAGGCATCGTTCCCAGCGCTGTGCCCATGGCCCACAACCTCCAGCCCGCTATCATACACCCTCCTCATGCCCTGTCCCCCGGACAAAATACAGTGAAGCCACCAGAGGGCGACAGAGAGCAGCACCCGAATGATCAACTGTAGCCACACACAAACACACACTTGCCTGTGTGGTCTGGTGACAAGCTGTTATCAGACGCGTTCACAGAGTGTCAGATGGACAGGTTGAGGTCCCAATAACAATCGATTAACAACTCTCTGGCAAATTGTTTCTCAGCAGCCAGTTCACACTCCAAAGAAGAAGAAAATGGCCATAGAAGAGGACGATGAAGAAGAGCGGATAGCTGTGAGATGCTCTAAATAAGAAGCAAGATAGTTGTCCGTTGGTCCAACAAAAAGCCCTGAGAAAGACTGTAAAGATCCACAGGTTGATCTTCAAATAAGAACCACAGTATAGTCACGTTTCTGCCAGTAGTTAAAAAATTAAATCTGTTGATTTGGGATGAAAAGAATACTGAAAATTATGCTGTCTTAGACTGTAGTGTGTCCAAAGTTAGAGGTGCGGTTTTCATGTGTTTCTCTCTTTTTCTGTGTCCTTTCCTTAGTTTGATGTACAACCAAAAGTAGTAGGTTATGAAATGAATTAGGGCTGCACGATATTGGAAAAAACTGACATTGCGACATTTTCTTCCCCTGCGATATGAAAAAATACAAGGATTGAAGAAAAGACAGTTTTTTTTGTCCGCAAACCATCCTTTCTTGAACTTTAATGCTATACAATTGGTATTTTTTTAATAATATTTAACCGGATGAAGGATTTTAGTCACGGACTTCTGGATCTTAAGTTATCAGAGCAACAAGCTGAGCTAGCTCGGTTATCCTGCTGTGATCTGATCAAGAATGGTTGTGATTGGTGGTTTGCTGTGCATGCAGAGCCTGCAAGTTTTCCTTTTGTAGCAAGCAGCAAAATAATTGTAACATGACTTGTTTGAGTTCATTTGCCTACTTAATATCGCACGTCCTAAAAAAATAATAAAAAAATAGCACGTCCTGCGATGTCAATATTGCGCATGCGCATAACGCGATTATCGTCACGACACGATATATCGTGCAGCCCTAAAATGAATGTAACCTTTCTGTGTACAGCTCTTAGAGATGGAGATACTGATAGTTGTATTCCAGTCTTAACTTAAACAAGGGATATGTGATCTTTGATGTAGCCAAACTGGTCTCAGAATACAATATCTGTTTTAGTTTTGTGTCCCTAAATTACCGCCCCCCCCCCCCCCCCAAAAAAAAAAAGGAAATGAAAAGAAAAAAGAGGCAGCTTTTTGCACACCATCTCAGGAAATAAAGTTTCCGCAGTTGGTATGGTATTTATAATTTGTTTGAAAAATTCCTTTTTATGCCACTTAGTGCTTTTGTTTTTCTACCTGCTTGCCTTTTTTCATGTCCTGCTGCATTAGATAATAATAACTTTAACAAGAGCTAAAGTCGATCTAATGTTTGCTTTTGTTTGTTTTGTTTAAGGGGCATGCACTTTTGCTCTTGGGACTAAATAATTGACCCAAATCGAGGGGGTTGTGGGAGAAAGGCTGTAGGGAGGCGGTGTAATGGTGTGCTTGGCGGGAAGACTTCATCCTTAGTCGCCATTTGAGTTTACAAAATATAGTGATAAAGTGAGAGGTAATTACTTTGAAGGACAAAACAGGTTGTGGATAAGGCAACACAGAGTTTGTAGAAGCGTACATTAGGAAAAAAAAGTAATTATCTTGGTTGTGTAATGATCCAGTACTTCCACTATTACACACATTAATTGTCCAAGTCATGGAGCATGAACAGTTTAGCACACCAAGGTTTACAAATGATACACAACATTGGTAAATCAGGGTTTTGTTTCATGCTAAGCCAACAGACTTGTGAAAAACTGCATAGCAAACATTCTATATATTCCTGATTCAACTGCTTTGCTTTCTGCACAAACCATTTTTGTTTCTTAAACTTGCACAGAAGTTAAGGATAGCTATGGTAATTGACTGATGAGGAACAGTTCTTGAAACCAAATGTTCATGTTTGATCCGCTGCAAAATGGACTAGTTAAGACTTTTTAAATGACTATGACAACAAAGTAAAGCATTTCATGACAGCATGTCAGAACGCACTGATTTCTCCAGTCTAGTATCCCTTTAACATTTCATGATGGGTCCTACCTGAGTATACCGTTTAGCCACCCTCTGTGGCTTCTGTGTCTATGTGTACATATGGTGTTTGCCTGCCTGTGTCAATGTGACTTGGTTGTATATGTGTCTAAAAAAGCACAGCACTGGGAGGAGGGGTGGTGGCTAGTACTCTCCATAAGGCATCATTACAAAGACTGCCAATCAAAAAAACAACTAACACTATGTAAAAAAAAGAAAAAATGCTTAGAACTAGACAAATCCAAGCCAGAAAACATACCCAGTAATGTGTGCTTTTACTGGTAACATTCCCACCATGTGAACAAGATGCTGTTACGCCAACAGTAAGGTATACAAACATGTTTTGCTATCTGGAATATTTATAACCGCCTTTAGTCTAGTAATGTTGTTGGTGTTAGCAGGACAGCAAAGTGATGGTGCTTTTTGGATCCCCTTCTACCAGCAGCTGAGCAGTAAAAACAGTTCACTGTTGCCTACCTGGTCGTCATGGTGAGGTAGTAAGAGTAGCAATCAGGGATGGAAATTCCACTAACCATTGGTGAGTTCTCCCTAACCAGGATCTAAAGGGTTGTAGTACAGAAGGCACTGAGGTGACATTCAACTGTCAGAAAAGAGCCCCAAGAGGCTGTAATAGTTCAAGTTATATTCTTGATCTTTTCTCACCAGATGCCTGTAGTTAATTGGGGTACAAATAATACATAATATAAACTGTAAGCATTCCTCATTCAAAGAGATGGTTGCCTCAAGTTAAAAACATACGTACTAGCCTTTAAAGTGTCCAGGTGCTCCTGGAAATTCCATCCCTGGTAGTGACACACAGTCGACTGTTGCCTACCCTGGTCCCTTTATGGTAAAGTAGTAGGCGTAGCAATATACAGTATACATATTCTATATTCTACAGTAAATATCATTATTTTTGGTCTAAACTGACAACCTGACAAAGATATGTTTGTGACTGTATGCATTTGTATGAATTATTTTAAAAGGAAATAAACTGTGGAAAGGTGAAGTTTGGGTCTCATTCATCTTTAACCTTAAAGTGGACCTATCATGCATATTATTTGAATAATATAGTGTAGGACCATACCTATATAAGGCATATTTATACTTTTATTTTTTCAAAATACCAAACAGATCATGCATTTTAGCCATGCCTCATTTCGCTCAATTTGCACTGTTTTTGCAAGGGCTGATTATGTGAGAACAGCACCACCTACAGGCCTGGCATATGTACTACAGCGTCTCCAGCGCTTTCGAACGGCAATGGCCGTGGCTGTCTCCTCCTGATTGGTGGAGAGTTGGCTCAATAGCCGTAGCGCCACTGTCCTGACGTCAGGACAGTGTTCAAATCTGGATCAGTTTTTATCAGATCCGTTGCAGCCCCTTTTTTAGAGATTTGGGTATGGAGGAAAATAGAGAGGGTTGTGTTTTCTGACACTTGGTGTGTTCCCTGGAACACCGGGGACACATATTCATGTATAAAAGACGTACAAAAGTGCATTTTGCATGATAGGTCCCCTTTAAGTTTTTGTTTTTGTGTTGGAAAGGACGTACCATATTTGAAGCTGATGCACATGAGTTGCTGTGTGTCGAGTATACACTAAGAGTATACACTTTGTATTGATCTTCATATACAAGAAGTAATCCAAGACAGCAAGACAACTATAAAGCTGACTGTAAATAACTTAAAAAATATATAAATATTTCTCCAATGATTTAGAATAGACCTTTTTTTATGATGTTTCTGGGGCTGTCTCACTGCTAAATACTTTTTGTTAGATATTTTTCCAGTCATAAACAGTTGAGTGACAGCAATTAATAGACTAGTCAGTGATATGAAATGAATAATAATAATAATTGATAAGTAGGTAAATTAATAAGCAACTATTTAGAATTGATTGAGCGTAAATTAAAATACAATAACAGATCGTTCAAGTACCTTTTTAAGAAAAAAATGCCTAGAAATAGATGTTTCTTGATAATCACATTTGAGTATTTTCTGTTTTCTTTTGTCAGGGTATATGCAGGAATCCTGAAGTCAAATGTAATACCTTTTAAGACCTTTTTTATGACCCTTTCCATACATTTTAAGACCTCATCGCCACTTCGAGTTTTTTACCTCACATTGACTATATACAGTATTGATTGTCCTTCCTCCTTATCTTCCAACCATTTGGACGCAAACTTGCATTTCCCCATAACGATGTTGTTTAACAACCGGCGTAAACGGACCTTCGCGCGCTATCAAGCAGTGAGCGTGCGATGTCCTGTTCAGATGACGTCAAATCCAACAGGATGCCATAAATAAACTACAAAGAATCACACTACACACCTACGCAATGATTACATTCAGGCAGACTGTAGAATACAACCTCTTTGGACAATTTATATACTTATTGAAAACAAGCTACAGAATGTAATACCTTGGAAAATGCCGTTTAATACTTTTTAAATTAATACTTTTTAATAGCCTTCATTTTCGCTAAATTGATTTATCAACTTTTAATACTTTTTAAGACCCCGCGGACACCCTGTTTGTCCTATACTGGGAGAATATCTATGTACAAAAACAACAACATATGAAGACATCACTTTTGGCAGTTTTCACAATTTTCTAATGTTTTATAGACCAAATGTTTACATGATGTATCTAGAGAATAATCGTCAGGCAAATCCATTCAACCGTCTTGGACACAATTCCAGCAAATCTAGTATGCACATGCCTAAATACTGAAATCACAGAATTATATTGAATTTAGGAAAAGGACCACTGAAGCAATTGTCTTGTTACACCCTTGTGCTTCCAACGATATACGCTTTTTAAACTGTTGCCACATTTCTGACTCCTACTTTATTCAAATGGGGCTAGTTAAACAAACGTCCAAAAATCCAGGACATGTTTTTTAAATAAGCTCCTCTTCAATGCACGTAAAAGCAATAAATAGTGGTCTTTTCACTCAGTTAGCTGGAGTTTGCATCCTTCAACCCTGAATATAAAGTTACTAGTTGATTCCAACAGATGTCACTAGTACAGCTGAAACAGTCATACTGAGGAGAAAAACATCCAAAACAGATGTAACAACTGAATCTGTGAAATGGTTCTGCTTCTTGCATCTGTTATCCAGTTTAATTTATTCATGCAATAAATCTATACACATCTTTGGGTGTTCCTAAAGACATATACAGCGCACCTGCGTCACATTAGTGTAGTGGTTGTCAACACTTCTGGAAACAGTTTCCAGCATTCAATGACTTATTGACTCCTCAAACATAAAGCTTGTAGTCATTAAATAAGAGATGATGCAATAATAATAATATTGAAAATCAATTAACAAGGCATGGAATACAATTACAATATCATCAATATATAAACACTGCTTTTGTTTGTGCCGTGGAGTATCCAGAAGAGTAACGTCACCAGCACTCTGTCAATGATTTAAAGGCCCTCTCGATGAAACAAATTGAAATTGAGAACTCAGGTTTTCTCCCAACCTACGTAGGTACGTTTTTCTATAGAAATATGATACAGTATAGATATTCCAGAATCTATTCAACAGTTAAAAGGACAAATTATGAAAGGGCAAATCTATTCTTCTGCTGTTGTTGGGGAAACAGAAATGGTTGTAAGCTGCATGCTGCCAGTCATGTGGGACCTCATCTTGAACCGACTCGAGCTGAATTCTGACACGGGACCTCTGCTTTATCTCTGTCTTTCTTTTTATCTATCACTCTTTTGCTCCCTGCATACCCCCAAATCTCTCCATCACACTCTCTTTTTACTCTTTGTCACTTCCTCTTTCCCTCTCTGGTTCATCCATTCAGAGTTACAGCCACTGGAACAGGCTCTCTGGCAGCTGGAAACTTAAGATGGTTTAATCTAAACCTCAGGAAGCAGGATGGGAACCAGATGCAGTAAAAAAAGAAAGAAAGAAAACAGGCAACGGGCACGTTTTATCCAGCCAGTAAGGGGACCTCCAAAGGGCACTGTGCGAAGAAGAAGATACATTTTTCATGAGGCTGCTGGGACTTTAAGGGAGGAAACAAGCATCTGCTTAAACCTCAAACCAGAGGTGTTAATGCTGACCACCGTCAGATTTAGAGGCACATCTTACTCTTTGAATATCCACTAAGATTTAAGAGATGATGGCTTTTTAGAAGCAAAGGAACATTTCAGGAAAGGTTAAGTCGAATGACTAAAACTCTCCGCTCCTTAAGTAAATATCATTGAGCTGCCAAGGCGAGGCAATTAACATTAATCCCCGTTTCAACACACTGCTGTTTTACAGGGTTCAAATTGGAAAGTGACGATTTTTTCCTCGTTAAAGCTCTGGCTGTTGGACAAGACAGTATGAAGGGAGCAGGTTTATATGAAAGGCTCTTGCAAATGAACAAAGTACAAGAAAGACCTTTTCCAAACAGTTAAAGGTGGGGTAGGTAATTTTGGAGAAACCAGCTCGAGCGTGCTAGAATTTGAAAATACACAGCCGGAAAAAATCTGCCACTTCCTTACAGAGCCCCTCCTCCAACACACACGAACGCGCACATGACCAATGAGGGCACAAGATAAGTTTGTGCACAGATGGAAAGCTGACAGGCAGGTAGGCCATCCAGTTATTTTAGCCGGGCCGGCTAAAATGATTGGTCGTGCTTTTTACAGTACTACGGCTTCCACAGATGAATTTTTTTTATGGATTTTTTGTCAAAGCACTTAAGATATTCATTGCTATCGGGATGTTAAGAGCATTCCATGGAATATAACAAAAAGTGTATCTCGAGCCGGTTTCTCAAACTTACCTACCCCACCTTTAAAGGTAGGGTAGGTAAGAATGGAGAAACCAGCTTGAGTGCGCTAGAATTTGAAAGTACAAAACCGGAAAAAATCTGCCCCTTCCTTCAGACTTCCTTACAGAGCCCCTCCTCCAACACACACGAACGCGCACAGGACCAATGAGGGCACCAGATAAGTTTGTGCACGAGATGGAAGGCTGACAGGCAGGTAGGCCATCCAGTTATTTTAGCCGGGCCGGCTCAGATGATTGGTCGTGCTTTTTACAGCGCCACGGCTTCCACAGATGAAATATTTGTATGTATTTATTGTCAAAGCATTTAATGTATTCATTGCTATCGGGATGTTAAGAGCATTCCATGGAATATAACAAAAAGTGTTTCTGAAGTGAATTACCTACCCCACCTTTAAGTTGTGAGAAATGGATGGGTCATGGAAATGGGTCATTGTTTCGACACACTATTTCATTGCTCTTGCTGAAACATGAATCATGCATGCTTGAACATTTGTATTGGAAGTTTGGTAATACAATATTTTAAAACGGTTTCTGATTGTTTAAGCTTGTGACTATCAACTATCATCTATTTTAACTAGCATAAACATCACAAGCATAATGGCTTGATTTTGATATTTTAAGAAATCTAATCAAAGATGACGGTGGTTGTTGAGGTGTCCATTGGATTTGATGACCATAAGTAAAATACTCGATATTGCCAACTTTCTTCCACAAGGCCGAAGGTTTTGCAATCCAAGATTAGGTAAAAAAAAAAAAATCAAAATTAAAGGTTTTACAGTATAATATATATAAAGGATATATTTTTTAAATCAAGTGTAATCTCAGATTTACACTCAATTTACTCGCTATTTATGTTTTTTTAAGCTTCCTCAACCTAGTTCATGCAGCTGCTATCAATTCAGTGTTTTTCTAAGAAAGCACACACTATAATAAACGGCTTTAACTGTTAGACCACACACTTGCATCACATAACATGTTAACTCCTTGTTATGTCAGATTTGCACACTCTCTGGTGAAAATAGTGACAAAGACATAAGTGTGTGTTCGCGTGGTGTGCGTCCAGACACTAACGGATGAACTGGTCGATGATGGACATGGAGGAAATGGGTGGACTTTCACATTTCCTCTTTGCATCCCCCCCTGTCCTCCCACTGCTCTTCTCACCTTTCCTCACACATCTCCTCTCTGAGGTTTTCTCCAGAAACGT